AATGGCAAGATACCTCGAAGAAGAGAGCTTAGTCCATATTATGGGCTTCCAATGGAAGATTCACCAATACACAACATTAAAACCACTTTACAAGAAGGAAACCGTAACTTAAATTACCCAGTAAGTTAATTTTGTGTCATTTGTTTGAGTTAACTATTTTGTTTTTATTCTAGTACTCACTAGTCTCAATATAAATATTTCAGCTAATAAAATGTCGGTGGGAAAAGTTTATACAATCTCAGTAGAAATATATTAATCTTGTTTACCGAGCTTGGTCATAAGTAAACTTGAACCTTATCACACTCTTTTCATTCAAGTGTTCAGTAAAATTAAATAAAAATATGGCATTTCTTTACTATGATATAGAATTAATTCAGTGATTCATATTACATACCTTCTCAGACTCATATTTTTCAATAACTGTTTACTACGTCTCAACAAAGAAAAAATAAGTTGTATTGATTTTAAAATTCTGTCACCCAATTTGGCCATTATTTTTTTTTCAGCTGGATACATGTGGCACAGTCGGATGGGGTACTGCAATGTCTTCTGTTTGACGAAAAAGGAAATGTTAAATCTACTGTAGTATGAATCAAGCCACTTTAAGTAACTGTACTGTTCTCGTGATATTTTTGCTTGGATTGTAAATTATGAAGTGCCTGCATTTCGAAAGAAGAAGAGATAATTGAAAATTGTTTCAATATATAGTTCCAAAGGCCACTGTTGAAGGACATTTTCAAGAAATAATGTTTTGCTAATATCGTGTGATCTCTTACTTACTGATGGCTATAAATATAATCTCAGGTTTTTCAGAAGCTATAGTATGAACATAGAAAAAAAATTTAGTTTATTTTATTAATTTAAGATTTATTTCAAACATCGAAAGTCCTATTTTACAATTATTTATCTGTCTTTTTTTAGTCTGTATTAATTTGAAGTAAAAAGAGAAAAAGGATCGTAATTTCTGTATTTGACTGCTCGCTCTGACAAACTTTGAATAAAACTATCTAATCATTTCAAAATATATTTGTTTAATATTAAACAATGTGTTTATTATATGTTTCTACTTTAAATTACTGAATAATAAATATAAAATAAATGTACAACTGATAACAATTTCGCATTTTGATTTTATGCCATAACACCATATGAATAATTCACTAGCACGACTGGATATCACAAAAACATTTTCTTGGGAAATCATTAATAACCAAGATCATTGTATGAAACCACAACTATGTTCCACGAATTAGGCAAAATGATACAATTTTTAGACTAAAACTGCTACAAACTAAGTGAACCAGATATATTCCTGGGTTTTAAACTACAATTAAATGAATTCATAAAATATTCCATTTAATAATCGATTAAATGTGGAATATCATTAAGTAAGGTGGAAAAAGATTGTGTTACGGTATATTTTATAGATAGGTATAATTCCAACTGATAATCTTAAAGTAACTTAAAAACTGCAAATTTATCATACTTATGTTTAGTTAACATTCTAATTTTTATTATTAAGTTTGTATGTTATCTTATTAACTGTCATGAACACAACTGCTTTTATACAAGTTATACATTTATGATACTTGAGTAAGGAAGCAAATTATACTAATATAATAATAATAGGTAAGCAAGCAATGGTTTATAAGTACAAGGAAAAGTTTTATTGGTGGTGGAGCATATTCCATGTTTTAACAAGACAGACTATGAGTTTGGATTATTTTAATTTTCGTGCAAAGCTTCACGAGCGCTGTCTGTTAGCAGTGGGAAGGCCAACAGCTGGGCTATTACTTTACCAACTAACAGTATGATTGATCATAAATTATAATGTCCACAACTTAGGTGGGAAGGGAATTCGAACCCACAACCCGCAGATTGTGAGTCAAACGCCCTAACCACTTAGAATTGCCAAGCCTATTTTCTAAATCTCATTCCATATATATTCCATGTGGCCAGTTTATTGAAATCTTTAATCGAGGACGAATAAAAAAATCCATCATTTCCAACACTTATTTCTAAACATTTTATAATAATTCTTGAGATACGAATAACGTGTTTACAAAAAAAAAAGAAAAATATATATATAATTTCCTTAAAATAGTCCCTCAAAAACGTCAAAACATAAAATATTTTTATTATCAAAATAGATCGTTATATATTTTTAAGCTATCATATCATATGTTGACCAAGAGTAGTTAAGCTGCATTTTGCCACGAGCTACATAACTGAACCTCTGAAAGTTATTTTTTTCTGTTTCAGGTGAAAAAGAGTCTTGTTACAAACCATTATTATATTCTGAGTTTCAGTTTTTTTTCAATGGGCAGGTACTTAAAAGTAAAAGATATTTAATTATCTCGTTAGTTTGTGAACGTCATCAAGATAGCGAAGAGATCATAAAGGTTATTAGCATGAAGCAACAACAAGAAGTAGGGAAGTCGAACTGAAATTGAACAAAAGCTTACTTTGTCAAACTTGAACTTTAAACAAATACATTTCTCTTTGTAACAAAGCAATTAAGACAGTCATTTAATTTTGCTGTTACGCTAATGTTGCCCACAGGTATTTTGCTTCGTGTATATTCAGTTATCTATAATATAAATTACTTTCCAGGAGTTAATTAGATAATTCACTTTAATGGAATATATATTGAAAGATGGAAGAGATATCCCTATAACACTAAAAATGGTAGAGTTAAATTGATTTATAGCCCCCATCTCATCTTTTAGGATAGTCTTTAGTTATTCTTTTTAAATGCCTACTTTTTACATAAAACGTTCGGAGTCATAAACTTTTATTTTTTTGTTACATATTTCATGGAGGTGTTATTGAAAGTTTTAATCTTCTTGTGGTTTGCTGTCAATAATTTGTATGATTTACACTTTTTTATGGTTTGTTTATTCTGGATATTTTTACAAACTACACAATTTGTATTCTGACTAGTCATGGTTCCTGGTTTTGAAGTGATAGACTACATGTAAGGCGTCAGCCAACAGAATCTAGAGTCGGATCTTGGGCCATTCTGGTCGATTGGTGGGAATTCACTGTTATTTTTATAAACACATCCACTGCTTCAAAGTACAGTGCGTGATTTTGCGCCATCGGGACGTAAACCATATCCTACACCTTTTTGGTATCAAACTATCTTTCAATTAATTGTTAAAAGTAATTTTTAACACCTTTCTCAGTATGATTGAGAAAATTAGTACAAAAACGAGATTGATAATTCTTAGATAGACCAACATTGTAGCTGAGGCTATCTAAACTTTTCACATTCAAACTTGTATATTTTAATAGTAGGTAAATACACAACACCGTGTAAAGTATATTCAAAATAACGAAACAATACCAAATTTATATGGATATTAGTTTCAGCATCTTCACATGAAAACGTCGAAACTACAATCCATACAAATTTCGTATTGTTCCGTTATTGTGGATTTATAATTTACTCTAGATACGGCAATTTACTAATTCATTTAATTCTTCAGAATAAAGGTTTTTATTTCAAGAAAGGCTTTGCTACTAAATATAAAATTTTTACTATTTCATATTTTAGAATATAAATATTTACAATGAATACATTTTCCAATGCAAAATCAGATGTGGATCTTTGGGTCACTTGCATATCTTTGCCAAAACACTAAAGCACTGGAGTCACAAGGTTCTCGTGCCTTGTGGATAATTTTCGATTAAGGAAGTCAAGGAAATACTTGTGAGCGTCTGATCGTACCCTTTATGCATGTTTACCTCCAGTGAGTGGTGAATCTAACTTGTACATATTCGTGACTTAAATTACCTTTAAGCGCAATTCTGTCGTTAACCCGGATTATAGTGACTGACATCACAGACTCTTAACATTAATCAAACAAGCACTCTGTATAAGAAAACGAAATTAATCAAGATTGCCTTGGTACGCGTGAGGTCTTTGTAAACAAACAATGAAGATAAACACTGGACTAAGAAGAAATGAACTTATTGATTTAGTAAACAGTTCCTGTTTATCAGAAGATCAGTAAACTAGCTTCGGGATCTATTCATTAAAACCAGTATTGTATTTAGATGATGATCAATTACAGAAGACTGCTGCTCCTCATCGACTTACAGTCAAAAGTTTGCTATCTTCGTTATGAAATTTAAAGGTTTATCGGTAGTTAAATTGTGAAAAAAAAAACTTATGTAGAAGTTCTTAAATATTTACTAAGGTAGTTTGGATACAAATATTGGATTTACTAAGGTAGTTTGGATACAAATATTGGATTTATTAAGATAGTTTGGATAAAAATATTGGATTCTTCGTAAATAAGTAAATCTAAAGTTCTATCATATGTGTAATCTCAACACATCAGCTGAAATCCTTCGCTGGATGAAGATGAAATTTGCAAATATAAACAAAGAACTGACTCATTCCTCTTTACAAAGAATAATAAAAAACAGCCTTTAAACAAAAAAAATGATTCATTCCTCTTTACAAAGAACAATAAAAACAGCCTTTAAACAAAAAAATGATTCATTCCTCTTTACAAAGAACAATAAAAACAGCCTTTAAACAAAAAAATGATTCATTCCTCTTTACAAAGAACAATAAAAACAGCCTTCTAGAAATAATAACAACTCAAAAACTGTGTCTGCTTCTAACAGCATTTTTAATCATCCTCCCCTTTACGGTAAAAAAACTAAAATAATATCAAATACTCAAACTATTAAAAGATTATTTGCTTATAATGAACACCTGAAATATTTACGAACACTTCAACTTTTACTGGACATGAATCCTCTCAAACTATCACATCTCCGAGTTATGATAGTGACCTCATTATTCGAACAAGTAATAATCAACTCTCTTCCCAAGTTTCTAACATAACTAACCTTTCAAATATAGTTCTTTTAGATACAAAATTCAATCTCCTTAGTAAAGGTCTCAGCTTCTGTCCAACAACAACTGTGTTAATTAACCCGAACATCAATTCTCTCGGAAACTCAGAATCCTTGAATATTTTAACAACAAATTTCACCAGAATGACAATCAAACATACTCTGACTTTCAAAGAAACGTCCTCTTGAACACATCTATTAAACGGATAACGACATTTAGAAAATGCTGTAGAAAATGACATAATACAAACCTTAATATATATATTCCTAACAAATATAATTATATGACTAAAGGCAACCTCTAACTTGAAGACACTAATTTCTTCTGAAAAGATTAACGGTACCAAACTGGCTTCTAACTAAACCAATATGTTCATCGGTCGTATTGAAAACAATGTAATCACCAGTATTTAGGACAGACTCAAACGATGTTTCAACAACTTCTAACACCAAGAAACATTTCCTGTTGTCCAAATTAAGAAAGCCTCGGGGTAAAAATAAAGAACTGACACCACGGACATAAGAAAGGAGAAACTTACTCGTCAGATATAGAACTAATTAATGGTCAAATATTACAGGACCTACGTTTATTCCACAGGATTGAATGGTATTTAAAGTGACAATCCAAAGGTCTTCATTCATTTTTACATCAGCGTTAGTTTTGAAATTGGTTTTAATACCTATGAGAACCACATCATTAAAAGAATGGCCGGGTTTGTTAAAGTGTTGGACAACAGGGAAATGTTTCTTGGCGTTAGAAGTTGTTGAAACATCGTTTGAGTCTGTCCTAAATACTGGTGATTACATTGTTTTCAATACGACCGATGAACATATTGGTTTAGTTAGAAATTGGTTTTAATACCTATGAGAACCACATCATTAAAAGAATGGCCGGGTTTGTTAAAGTGGCTTATTATTTCTTGGTGATAACTTCCACATTTATATCTTCAAATATCAGTTTTATTTTACTTTATCAATACCAATATAGAATCTCTTCACACTGTCTCTTTGTTTAAACAAAACCTGACCTCTTTATTATTGTTTCCTTCCGAGTCACACATGCAACAATGCTTTGAAAGTTAATTAAAACAATGCCGGGTT